ACACACACACACACACACACACACACATGGACACACTCACACATATATACGCACAGACACACACGTGCACACACATAAAAAACACACACATACACATACAATACAATATCATTTCGTGCCAATTGTTGTCTGTCTTTCTATGTTTCAGATAAAGTAAGGAGAACCGAGAAATATGAATAACAAATGACGAAGTTCCGCTTCTTTTTATCTTATTTCTTCAGAGAGCGCCAAAACAGCGAGTCATTAAATGCCATCGAATGGCCAGAAATCTTCGTTCTCAATGCGTTAACCCTATCCGTACGCCCTGGGGTCATTTTGTACCCCTGGGTTGTATTCTTCACATTTTAGAATACTTCTAGTACGTAGATCTCTTTGAAACTTTCAGTATTCCTCAAAAAATCATTTTGACAGACTGCTATGCAAAGCGTACGGATCGGATTAACGAGTAAATTTCCTCTTTGGAAAGTTGTGGCACAGAGTTCCCCACGTCGTATGGATACGATAGTAAAACACGACGGACGGATAGGGTTAACTTGTGGAAGTTTTGAATTATCTCCCCGCCCGCAGGGAGGCTGGACTAAAGTGTGTTAGTATTCAGTACTAAGCTCAATCAATTTGGAAAACGCTCCATTAAATCCTGATAGAAACGCTTGGTTCCCGCGCTCTTTCCTTGGCGCTCCCACAAGACAACATATGTTCTGCTTGGAATAATATTGTTCTGTCTGTGGGTCTGTCTGTGGGTCTGTCTGTGGGTCTGTCTGTGGTTCTGTCTGTGGTTCTGTCTGTGGTTCTGTCTGAGGGTCTATCTGTGGGTCTGTCTGTGGTTCTGTCTGTGGGTCTGTCTGTGGTTCTGTCTGAGGGTCTGTCTGTGGTTCTGTCTGTGGTTCTGTCTGTGGGTGGGTCTGTGGTTCTGTCTATGGGTCTGTCTGTGGGTCTGTCTGTGGGTCTGTCTGTGGGTCTGTCTGTGGGTCTGTCTGTGTGTTTGTCTGTGTGTTTGTCTGTGTGTTTGCCTGTGTGTCTGTTTGTTCGTGTGTTTGTTAGTTTGCTCTCTACGTCTGCCTGACTGTTTGATTTGTTGGTGGGGTTTTGTTTGTTCTATTTGTCTGTCTGTCTGACTGTTTGTTCCCTACATCTGTCTGTCTGTCTGTCTGTCTGTCTGTCTGTCTGTCTGTCTGTCTGTCTGTCTGTCTGTCTGTCTGTCTGTCTGTTCTCTACATTCGTATGTATGTCTGTCTGTCTGTCTGTCTGTCTATCTGTCTGTCTGACTGTCTGTCTGTCTGTCTGTTCTCTACATTCGTATGTCTGTCTGTCTGTCTGTCTGTCTGTCTGTCTGTCTGTCTGTCTGTCTGTCTGTCTGACTGTCTGTCTGTCTGTCTGTCTGTTTGTCTGTCTGTTCTGTGGATCTATAATTTTCTCCATGTCTCTCTTTGTTTTTGTGTATAGCACTACATGTTGCTTAGGTTCTAGACTACGCTGTGCTTCCTTAAGACCCAGTCTTCATTTATTTTTCTTTCCAAAAAAAAGTTTTTAAAAATGACTTTACAAACTTTCATTTCTGAACGTATTTGTGAATGAGATGTGGTATACATGCTGAGTAGGTGGTTGGCGGGTGCTCTGGTGTGGTTTGCTTCTTCTTTCCTATCAAACATCTATCGCCCTGATCTCTCCTCCTTCTTTTTTATGTTTGTTACTCTCTTGTAACAGCTCTAATCTTCTGGCGCTCATATGACCCTATGCAGTTGCGAGCGCCGTAAAACCTCTACTAAAACTAAAGCTAAAATAGAACACTCTACAGTTTTCAACGCAGTATCGCAGGCTTATGCTGCCACCACAATCCAACTTCAAATTTAGACAAAATCGAATGGTGCGTTCCTTTTTTTTAATTATTGATATGCATGAACAGTAATCGCCTGTAAATGAAACCGGAAATCTGCGCTAACGGAAGCAGAACAGCGTAGAGCGCAATTTGCAATTTGTCTAGACGATCGTCTGGAAGTCTCCGATGTGGCGCGTTCACTTTGTTTCAGGGAACTCAACTGGAAGATCTTTTTTGTGGATGGTTTGCGGGTGCTCTGGTGTGGTTTGCTTCTTCTTTCCTATGAAACATCTATCGTCCTTATCTCCCCGCCTTCTTTTTTATGTTTGTTACTCTCTTGTAACACCTCTAATCTTCTGGCGTTCATATGACCTTATGCAGTTGCGAGCGCCGTAAAACCTCTACTAAAAAAATCCTTTTTTGTTGTTGTTGTTGTTGTTGTTGTTGTTGTTGTTGTTGTTGTTGTTGTTGTTGTTGTTGTTGTTGTTGTTGTTG